GGGGCAGGGGAGGTGTTCATAGTCCTACAAGTAGTTCTCAGTGTTTTGGTGAATTGGTGAAGCTGTGCCACTGGACAGTGAACTTGACCAGTGCTTTTCGATCTCCCACCTCCCCCCTTAGGTGGCTACAGGGAGGTGGAGTTGGGTCTCTCCCACCTCCCAGGTAGGTAAGGTGCCAATGCAACCCCAGTAGGTTAGGGGCTGCTGAAGCAGAGGGCTCCAGGCTATTTCAGAATGGTTACTTTCCCCTTCCCCTGCTCGGAACAGTAGGGGGTCTTTCTCAGGCTCCGTGAGAGCCTGGCAGAGGTTCTGGAGGTAAAACAACACTATGGGGGGCCTCCTGTGGTTGCCCGCCCCCACCCCTGTTTTAACTCTCAGACTGGTTCCCAGGAGCCTGCAGCAGTTGGTCAGTTACAGCTTGGGTCTCCTTCCCTGCGGTGGCTTTCATCTGGGTTTCTGCTCACAGGTTTCTGCTCAGGTAAGTTGTCATTCTCTGTTTCTGCCTGTCTTTCCCATTGGGGGGGGCAGTGGTTTGCCCTGTGACCTCGCTTTTCCAAGGGGTCTAAAGGAGTTGTTGATTTTTTAGTTTGTTCAGAGTTTTACCAGTTAGGACGGAACGGAGACATCTGGGCTCCTTACATCCTGGATTGCAAAACAGAATCCCTCACATTGTTTAATTTTTGCAATGCCAAGCCAGAAAGATTGGTCTTATTGTCTAACAGAGCCAGCCAGCAGAAGCAAGGTGTTTTTACTCTTGCCAAATGTCTTGAGGACAGTGACACCAGACGCTAAGTTCAGGCAGCCTGACCCTGGATCGACTTCAAAGCTGATTCTCTTATTAGGGAAAAAAACATGCGCATCTTTTAGAGACCCAGTATTCTGTTCCGTTGCTGAAAACTTTCCAGTGGAAAAGATTTCTTTGCCTTCTTTATCATGCATACTAATGGAGGACATTTTTAAGGGCCAAGAATTCCCTTCTGAGAACAGCATTTTGGCACTGTATTTATATCTTTACTCAGTTTCCTTGGCATCTTGGATCTAACCATCTGAGGGCAGAACAAAAAGTGATTTAAAACACACACAAGTGTCCACGACCAAACACCAAAAACAAAACTGAAAACCTACAGTTATCACCAGGGTAGATATGTGCATGGAGAGCTCATACTGGATTCTCATGGAATGTAGGCTAACTCCATTATCTGCATACCCAATGGCTTGTCTGCCCTGTTCTGTTGTTACAATGATCACTCTTACCCCAAACCAATCTGGAATGACTCAGTCCAGCTCCAGCTGGTGCTTTCAGGGATGAAGAGACCACCTGGCCATTATGACTATAGAAGTCCCTATAAGCACAGTTATTACAGAGAAAATTGGGGAATTTTACAATACAACATGTTTGCCAGCCAGCAAGAATAAGGGCAAGAAAAAAATCTGATGAATAAGATTGTGAAGGGGTAAAAAAGGTGGATGTTATTCTGCCAATGATTTCTCTGGTTTGAAACCTTACTTTCAAGGCTGCTTATTTATACTTTGCCCCACAAAGGACAAAAAAATTCTCACATTCTATAAAAAGACAAGTAAAACCAATAAAACCAATGTCATCTAAACAACGGCCCTAACGACATTTCTCAGGCTTCGATTGGTTTAGCTCTTTAGTACTTTATTGAAAAAGCCTACCATCTATATAGCAAACTGTCCAGTGCAACTGAATAAAGATCTCTCCTTTCTCATTTGTTGCAGAAGGACTGAAATCGTCTATTGTTCTTTGTCTCCAGAGTTTTTGAATCTGTTGTCTCAAAACTCTGTTTGCTGCCTGTCTTGGGGGTCAGTGCAGTACACAGAGCAGACATTATCTACGGGGCCTACTGTAGCCTCCAAGGTCATGAACACAAATATGTTAGGTTTTCATTTGCTGCTCTGTTCTTTCATGTCTCTGGCCTTGGCTCTGTGAACTGAAGTGAAATCATTTCCCAAGATCCCTTCAGCAGTACATGAGCTAGGCTACACCCCGGCCCTAGATCCCCTCAGGTCATGTAAGCTTCCTGTCCCACAATGCAATTGTGACTGCGATACCAGCCAGACAGTTGCCCCTAGACTTGACATTTCCTTTGTATGTTCCTAAACTTTCAAACAAAGGTCCCCCATCTTTGCTTTCAAACAAAGGTTCCTCCTTGGCCTCTAACTTACCCACAGCCCAATAATGCAGAGGCAATTTGAACTTTTTTTTAAAGATTTTATTTATTTATCTTTGAGGGGAAGGGAAGGAGAGAGGGAGAGAAACATCAATGTACGGTTGCCTTTCCCACGTCCTCTGCTGGGAACTGGCCTGCAGGGAACCGGTCTGCAACCCTGGTATGTGCCCTGACTGGGAATCGAACTGCGATTGTCTGGTTCGCAGGCCCAATTTGAACTTTTAACTGGATAAAAAGTTAGTAACACAGGGATTATGGTCAATGACATTTTGTTGTTGTTGAATCAACCTATTAACAATGACATCTGACTTAGCCTCCTGGGCCTCTTTTTCAAAGATCATGATTCTGTAAAGTATCCACTACTCTTCCATACTATATACAATATAGTGTACGTACTATACACTGATACTATAGTGTAGTATTGTAACTACACTAGCTTTATCTTCTTTCTTTCATCTTTCATCTGGAAAAGACCTTTCCTGCCCTGTTTGATAGTTAGGGAGTATAATTTTTGTTGGGAAATAATTTATATGGATAGTGCTTCTGTCCACAGTAAAACTCCCATTGTTATTTCATAGAGATATAGAGGATGTATGAACATATAACCCACTAGCTGGTTCAGTCATTACTGACCTGTCCTCTTAAGATCTTTTATTCTGAAAATACTCAAAGGGACTGAGGATTTCGAAGTCTGGGCGTTCGCTTCTCTTGAATTCTGGCTTCTGAGAGCACCCCAGTATAGGCAAGCAGGACCAGCACTACCATACTTTATTTTCTCTTTCTGAATATGTAGGTGGCATATGCCCCCATGCATTTTGATCAGGCAAGTGCCTACGGTGTTCAGATTTATGGCCGGGGAGATTGTTGCAAGATTGCTTTCTCTTTCAGTGTGTATTACACTCTCGAATGTTCCTTTGACCAGGCCCTTGGTTATGTGGCATAAGCCGGGCAGCAGGGAAACTGGACTGTCCTACAGAAAAGTATCTCCCTAGGTAGGAGAGGAGACTTCCCATGTCCGTCAGCTTAGGTCGTGACCCATTCAGCTTGGTTCTGTCCTAACTCAACAGTTTTCCTTCTGGAAAGGCTATTGTTCTTCAGAAGTGAGGATGCAATTTAATCCAGCTTTGCCCTTTTTGGATTTGTTTATTTAAGAAATATTTACTCAAAGCCTTCTATGGTGCTGGGCATGATTTTAGACCCTGGGAAGGCAGTGGTGAGCAAGATGAATTAAGGTTCCTGAGCTTGTGCAGGTGAATAAATTAAAAAACAAAGGACACGTTAATTACAGACTGTAGTGAGTGGGAGGAGGGGAAGCAACGGGGTGGCATGATGAATAAAGTGGAGCCTAAGTGCGACAGTCAAGGAAATCTCAGCTCTTTGGGGAGGTGCCATTAAGCTGAGATACGTCAAGAAAGAGCCAAGCAAGGGAAGAGCGTGGGGAAGGACATTTTATGTGGAGGGGGCAGTAAATGTGCAAGTCCAGGGCCGAGCAAGAGTTTTGCTTGTTTGAGGAACAGAAAGGCCTAGTGAGCAAAAAGAACAGCGACAAAGCAGAATTGGAAGGATCACAAGAAGCAGCTCATGCAGTGCCCAGGAGAGTGGGTGACTGGCTGATAATTTATACTCAACAGGATGGGAACCCATAAAATGACTTTAAACAGGTGAGACTTGTACTTAAGAAAAATAAAACCCAACAACTCTCTGGTTGTTGTAGAGAGAACAGAACTTAACAAGGAACAAGAGTGAACACAGGGAAACCAGTTCTGGGGTTGTCCCACTGAGGACACTGATTTCTATCCCTAACTTTCCTATTGTCTTCAAGTGTCAGATCTTACTCTGCTGTGAACCCCTGCTCTGGAAGTCTATTTTAGCTGGCTGCTGGTCTGGGGAGTTTATACTCTGGTGGGGTCTCTATTCATTTTCCCACTTCTCCTTTTATCTATTTCAGTCTATTCCATCCATCCATCCATCCTACCATCCATCCATCCATCCATCCATCCTTCCATCCCACAAATAATGCACAGTCTGTTTGTGGAGAGAGACATGCAGATGAATAAATATGACACATTGCAGTAAGGGTTGTGATACTGGATGTGCACAGTACAGTAGAGAGCATCTGGCAGGTAGCCAGAGTAAGAACAGGCAACATTTGAACAAGGTCTTCAAATAGATGAATAGGAATTCACCTCACACGAGGAATGAAGCTACTCTTTCTTAAACTTCTAGGTGTGAAGCATTGTGCTTTGAATTTTACAAATGGTATTTCATTTCATCTTTCTCCCAACCTAGTGAGTTTGGTAATATAATCTCTATTTTTGATCACTGAGGACAAGAAAACAACAGTGATATTGAAAAACGTTCCTAAGGCACCAGTTTGTCAATAGCAGTCCTGACTGTTAGTCCCTCATCCGCATGACTCCGAAAAAGCCTGTGTTTGAAACTACGTTTTTGCCCTATGACCCACAGACAGGAGTCTGATTTTTGTTGGGGGATATTTTATATGTATAGTTCTTCCGTCCAGAATGCACACGTCCAAAGATGTTTCCTGGAGGATATGCAAAAATGTCCTCCACTAGCACTGCAGTCATTATTGATCCTTCTTTCAGAGGGGGATTCCGTGCCCGAGAGCAGCATGCAGAAAGCAGTGAGGCAAGCAAGAGCAGGGAACATTTGAGGGAGGTGCGGGTTTGGGGCCTGAAGCACAAGGGTGAAGTGGCTGAGCTGCTGGAAGGGACAGTGGAGGCAGGACAGCATCACACGCGGCACTCCGACGGGGCCCTCCTCCTGTGGGCCACTTCAGCCTTCCCGTAGTCAGCTCATTCTTTAAAACCTGGAGAACTGGATCAGGTTCCTATTGATCTCAGCAACCGACCGGCAGCCTAAAAGAACAACACAGCCAGAAGGTCAGTTCTATGCCTGTGGGGTCCTTTATCCTTTTGCTCAATCCCTCCACCGGCTCCCCGGCCCCCCAACCCACCTTGGCTGTCCAGCACTCTCTATCTGTGAGTCTGCCTCTAGTTCGCTTGTTAGTTCAGTTTGTTCATTAGATTCCACAAGTGAAATTATATGGTATTTGTCTTTCTCTGACTGGTTTATTTTGCTTAGCATGAAGTTCTCCATATTGTTGCAAAAGGTAAAAGACTAAGGGGACTAAATGGTAATGGAAAAAATACAATAAAAAAATAAAGCATTGTAAATGCAAAAAACATAATTAAAAATAGAAATAAAAAGCTCCTTTCTCTGAAGCACCAGAGACCCACCCAGCCCGGGTCGGGGTGATCTGGTCACAGCGAGCCTCGACTTGGCCTGGGGCTCATCCTGAGAAAATGCTGTGTATCCAGAATGAAATATGTCATTCAGACTATGCTGGGAATTATTTGGGGGGGGGAGGGGTGTGCTCTGGTCTCCTTTTGACAGCCATGTCAAAATGGCATGGTAAAAATGTAAAAACAACATTTTAGCATTTTAAAAGTGATATATGTGTAGATAAACAGTAGATACCCTTGATCTTTATCTCAGTCTTGATAAGGCTCAGAGATGTGGGGCGCATCTGTCCCGGAGGAAGTGACTCAGGGACAGCAGGGGAGTGGGGGAGGTATTTCCTACAGCAGCTGCCTTCTAAGGTCTGGAAAGGAACCCCCCTGCTGTAGTGACTGGTCTCAATTAAAATGCAAATTTAGGACCATGGCTGAGGTTAGGTCCAGGGATTGAAGAGTAACTTCAGGTAAGAAGCGAAAAGAGGAGAGAGGAAGGGGGACTGCAGTGACTATGGGCTGGAGGACTGTGGGCTCAGGGAGACAGCGGAATGCCCCTGGCGATGAGAAGGCTGCTGGGATTCAACAACAGGACGCGCAATACTGCCCTGGAGTTCTTTCCACCTCCCTGATGCATGCACCTTCGCCTCCCAAAACATGACTTCAGCAAAATGTATTACAAAAATACAACTCATAAGAGGGTCTTCCTAAAAACGGAAACAGAGGACAGAGTTGACTTTCATGTCTAGGACGATTGCAATGGACAGAAACAGTGGGCCCAAGTAACCAGGAAAGTGAACTAACCCAGCAGAAGCCATGGGCAGCTCTCCTCCGTACTGACAGTGACCTTGAGAGCCGTGGATTTCCCCAGGGGAGAGAGCAGTGGGATTTCACAGTAGGTGGACTTACTCAAGGAGCAAAGAGATGCCCCCTCCCCAAATCTTTGGCTATGTATTGTAGGAAAAATCATATTTAAACTGTAGACCAAAAAAGGGAAGTGGGTTATGGAGAGTAACCTCACAGAGGGTGATCTGATTATAAATTTCTAACTGGGTGGGTCTTGGTGGGTCATCATACTCCAGCCATGTAGCTTCTTTAGTAAAAGGTTTACCTTTGCCCTAAGCAAGCCCTGTCCCTGGTTTCAAGCCCTAACGTGCTTTGAGGTTAGCACATCTTCGAAATGCCTCAGTGCCTCTTATTCAGAAGCAAGCACCCTCAAGAGAGCAGAGTGTTATGAACTATTTTGTAATCCATTCTCTGCCTTGACTTCTCCCATCTTCCTGGAACCTTCCCTCCTTAATTCCAAATCCATAAAAGAAGCTGCTGCAGGTGAAAACGGGCCACACCCTAACCTGACAAGCCCAGGGGAGGCTGCATGGCGGGCCTTGCAAACTCACAGGCCAAAGCAACCACACAGGATGGTCAGAGATCAGAACTGTCTTACTGCAGGCAGTTTATGGCAGGTAGTCCTGTCCTAGGCCAGTAACGTTCCCTAACCGAGGTCAGTCTTTACCTTAACCAAGCCTGTCTGGCGTCTTTTTTGCATCTATGATAACATACCTTTGGAATGTCAAAGTAATTCCCTTTTTCTGGACCTCTCAAAGCACAACCACCCACCAGGGCAGCAGCCACGAACCCCATCACAGTTATAATTATCATGTTAACTGCTAACTATCCTGTACCCACCAATGTAAAAAAAAAGAAGGACATGTCCTTTTGTTTTACTTTTTATCTAATTCCAGAGATTTCCCTGCCTTGATTCATGGAACCCCTGACCTCTTCCCCTTCGATTCTGATGTATAAAACGAGTGGGAAAACTGCCATTTTCTGGAGCATTTTCTCAATTCTTTGAGATTTTGCTTCCCAGCAATTGTCCTTGGTTTGGTTCAAATACAATTCTCTACAGGTTCGAGCATTTCTTACGTTGACACTGCCAACCCGACCTTTCTCAGAACCAGTCCCCTCTGTGGAACCAGTCCCCTCTGTGGAACCAAACAGTTATCTGTCTTGTGTCCAGACATACCCTCTATTTGCCTCAAATCTATTTTTATAAAAATTCTCTATGGCTTTGCTTGTTTGTCCTTTGATAAGGGATGATGACTTAGTGAGGTCTTTGTGGCCTTGTGTTGACATGATTTATATGTGCACGTTTTTGTTTTTTAAGATAAATCATACTTTTAACCTTTTTATGAATATAAAAACTTAAGAAATTGGTCTCATGGTTGGAAAAACATTACTTTTAAACGTACTCTGTTTTCAGCAATAGTGTTAAGGGGTCTCCTCCCGGGGCGGTGATGTCACGGGGACAGAAGGGAAGCAGCACACGTTTCCAGGGCAATTAGGAGAGAGAAGCCACGCCCACCGATCACCCCCCGGGTGCCCGCATTGTGCAGGGAAGGGCTGGGGCGCGGCGGAATGTCTGGGGGTGTGCACTATAATTTTGTATTTTGCTGAGTTCCAGCAAAAGCACAGGCCCCAAATCGGAGATCCCTTCTCTCCAGGGGACTAGTGGGAAGGTCTTCCCTGGGGCAGCGTCTCTCGAAGGATGCCCGGGGTTGCCCTTTCTCCTGGGTTTCCTACTCTTTCTCTTCCTCCCTGAACCACCTTCTCTGCCCACGTTTGGTTGTGATTACTGCTTTTTAAAAAATACCTTTAAAACAATACATTGCTATTGTAGGGCAATTAGGAGGAAGAAGAGTACAAAATCTCAGTCATGAAAGTGCTCATAATCTTGCTTTTTCTTCCTCTTTTCCTTAACCCCCTTTTTGAAGGGGTTACAGAAAAACCTCTCCACTCTCTATCTCAAAAATAGAGTTTCCGGTACCATTTACACTTTAGGGGTTATTAGATGTTAACTTTTGAGGGAATAATGAAGCTTTATTATTGTGAATTCCCCAATCAGGCTATTGTTAAAAAAGGTTTAGACCTCATTTTACAAGAATGGAGAAAATATCTGGAGAACAGGACAAGTCATTTCAACCTCCGGGAATCCCCAGACACGCAGGTGGAGACGCCCCGCCCCCTCCCCCGGCCCAGGGCCAGAAGACACCAGTACGCCGTCTGTTCACGCTGGTGTCCTCCTCTTCCTCATGGTGGAGCTTGGTGACCTTGGGTCATTTAGAATTGAGCCACTTAGAATTAGAAAAATATAAACTGAAAACTCAAAACTAAATGCTAATTAAGAGGAAAGCTAATATCATTAGTAAAGAACCACTATTTTATGGGACAATTAGGATTCTGGGCTTTGCTCAAAATTTAGAAGTGTTTATGAGCAACAGTTTACAATAATTTCACTTTTGACTGAAATCCGTGCAACTCTGAACCACTCGTGTCTGTCTTGCTGTCTGTCCGGGGTTACAGGGGACAGTGGCCCTCCTCCCCTTCTCTCCTCCTGTCTGTATCTCCCTCCCTGGCCCCTCTGTGCTTCCTCTTTGACATCATTTCTCGATTCGTCGTGGTCCATGAATATCACTTTAAAACGACACTAAGAACCACATCCAATGAGCCTGATGTCCTCTGAACAGCCCGGTGCAACATGGGACCCTCTCTCCCAGAGTGTGAATCACATTTGCTTTTGTACATCTTAATCGTGGGACAGGGGTGCCCCCTCCACATAGGTGAGGCCCAGGAAGTCCGAGCAGGCGGCTTTTGTATTTCCTGGCATTTGTCTTACAGAAGTAACCAAGAAAGTGCTAAAGCTTTAAGGATGGTCACCGATGTGTTTGTTCACAACAGAGGAAGCTTAGAAGCAATCCAAATGTTCAACAACAGGAAGTGTGTTATAGAAACCATCTTTTCAGATTAAGAAGTATCAAAGATGGATCTTTGTTTGGGACAGTTCTTTCTGGCCATCTCTACTGTCACCCCTGGGCTGGGGAGAGGTGGCTGGAAGGAGGGGCCACCAGTCCGGTTCCTTAGACCTGCGGCTTTCAGTTCCAAATCAGGAAAAGAATGGGACGCACGCACCTGTAAGGGCCATGGAAGTGTGGAACTCCTCTTTTAAAATGTTCAGAACTTCCCCGACACCATGTTCACCCTGAGGGAGGAAGGAACATTGTGACCTAGAGCCAAGTATAAATTGTATGTGTGCTCCGAGACGTGGTGGCGGGGATGGCAGCATCTTCAAAGTCAGGACTAGGTCGGAGATAAGGAAACGCCAAGAGGAAAAGCAGGGCTGAGAGCTCCTGCAAATCTGCAGCAGCTGCCAAGGAAGTGTGGCGATGCGGCCAGGTGTGGCCCACTTCAGGACTCTGTGGCACCTCGAAAAATGGTTAAGCTTTGGGGCTAAACCACAGGAAAGCAAAAGGCATAAAAATGAGTGAGAAACATGGTTTCTCCCAGTTGGTCTTCATTTTGGTCTCACCTTGCAAGCAAGACCCCAGAGGACTGGTCTCCCCAGGAAAACGCACTTGGCCCCAAGGGCCAGAGCCTTGAGCACGTCATTGCCAGTTCGGACCCCGCCATCCAGGTACACTTCCAGCTTCCCTGTCACAGCAGCCACCACCTCCGTCAAGGCGTCGATCTGAAAGGAGGGACATGTGCTGCCTGAGAATTTCCATTTTGACTTTTAGGGCATCGTGGGACAGGGGTGTCCCCTCCACGTCAGGGAGGCCCAGGAAGTCCAAGCTGGTGGCTTTTGTATGTCCTGGCATTTGTTTTGCTGAAGTAATTGAGAAAGTGCTAAAGCTTTAAGGATGGTCACTGATGTGTTGTTTACCACAGCAGAAGCTTAGAAACGATCCAGGTGTTCAGTAAAAGGAAGTGTGTTATATAAACCATCCTTTCATGGTTAAGAAGTACAGATTGCCAGTTATAAAAGCAGTCACAGGGATGAGGAGTACGGCACAGGGAAGACAGTCAATAATACTCGAATAACTGTGTACAGTGTTGGACAGTTACTAGACTTAATCAGGTGATCACTTCATAAGGTACATAAAGGCCTTATCACTATGCTGTGCACCCGAAACTAACATAATATTGTATCTCAACTGTAACTGAAAAGTAAATTTAAAAATAATAAATTGTTCATTCATACTACACATCATTAAAATTAAGAGGAGCACATATAATTGAAATAATATAATGCCCTTAGTATATTTATAAGGAAAAAGAAAAAATTACAAAATATTATGCATCATTTCTCAAACCTAAAATGTTAAATTTCTATTATGAAGTTGATAAACATAATCCCAAAATATTGACATTAATAATAGTGATTAAAATAGGGCTAATTTTTATCTTATTTTTTGCTTTTATATATTTTATAATTTAACTACAGCGCACATGTTTTACACATATAATAAAAAAACAAAAAAACTTAATAGGAAACAGTCCACTTTCCTTTCTTAAAATTAGTCAAGCAACAATAGAAGAGTCCTGAAATTCATGAAAATGTATATGTTGAAAGTATGTATCTTCATGAAAATAAATCAACAATTAATTCCTACTTAAAGATCCTTTCCCTGCCTCTCTCTTCATTTTCTTTCCTCAAATTCTTATCTCTAATGGACATAAATTCACATTACAGGAAAAATAACCGTGTCATAAATTTTTACCAAAGGATTCACTGGTCATATTAAAGTTGTGTTGTGAAAGATGGTTGTTTATTAGCTTCAGTGATACACTGTTCCTTCCTGGGTTGTGTCATATGAGAAAATACGAGGTGACCACCCATGCAGACAGGTGACCTTCCAGCTGAATGCTTCTTCCAGAAGGCAGGAGACCTGGTGCTTCTGAAACACCTCTAATATCAATCCCACCTTAATTACTTACTGTGTCAACTGGAAAAGTTACTTAACATCAATTCACTCCAGGATCCCCATCTGTAATGTGGGGATAATACCCATCTTGCAGAACTGCTGTAAGCTTTAGAGATGCTAAATGTAAAGTGTGTAAAAATAGCCTGGTGCACACTAGGCTATTATTAATGATTAAAAATTCTTAAAATTTACATGTATATACCAACATATGTGGTAAGAGAGAGGGCCGTGTGCACCAAACTGTCCAGAGTACCTTGCTGTAGACACACACACACACCCCGTTCACAAACGCACACACATACTCCCCTCACGAACATACCCTCTCTGGGGTCATCCTACTTACAGAAGCAGGGACATCATCAAGCTGCCTTCCACCATGGTTGGAAACAATGATGCCGTGCACTTTGTGCTTCAAGGCTAACTCTGCATCCTCTTTTGTCAAGATCCCTTTAAGGATAATGGGCAATTGAGTTATGCTTTGGACCCAGGAGAGATCGTCCCAGCAGAAGGCTGAGTCAATGGGAAGCATGTGCAGATGAGGTGCTGGATTTCTCTGTGGGGGATAAAAAAGAACCTTAGTCCTGAACTCCTTGAGACCGCTTGATTCATTCCAAAGATGAGGCACATTTAGGGAGCCAGAGAATGATACATGAAAAGAAACATTTCTAAGCTTGAAAAAAGGAGCTACAAAAATTGATCCTACTTCTAGCTTCCTTTCTTAACAAAAATAATTTCTACTTCATTTGCTTATTAATGAACCATTCATTGTGTCCCTGTTCAATCTTTATGCCAGGATCTGTGGATACAAAGGCAGCTAAGACACAGTCTCTACGTTGAGAGAACTCAGAGTTTAGTAAGTGAAGTGGGTAGGCAAAAGCATTTATTATTTATGGGCCAATGTAATGTATTAGAGTCAAGATATGCATAGGGTAGTAAGAACTAAGCAATACTTCAATAATCCTAAATCAGATATTCTGCAATATTGACCCTTGACTCACCATGGACACCAAACATCCATTCATTTCTGGAATCTGAGATAAAGGTTCCTGAAAACCTCAAGGTCAAGTTGTATATAACTTAATGAGATCAAACTGTTGAGTATCTCTTGGCTGGATATCACAGCTGCCCATTGACCGAAAAGTCTGGTATCACTATCTCTACTGTAGCCAAGGAATGGCCGCTTCACCATGACTTTGTCTCTCTGGGGCCCTCCATCCCATCTGAATGTAGGATTTTAATGGGTGAAGCACCCTTTGCAAATCTAGTTCAGAGATTCCAAACAAATGTGTCAGTACCCCGGTGCTCCAGAGCATCCCCATGAGAGGGTCGGTTCATCTAAGTGTGCCATCCAAAATGATCATTTTCTAAGTATGCCATAAAGTAGAAAACGTTGTGAGAACTTGTCTAGTTTACTGTCATACATGCAAAATCCTTTCTATAGCTTTCTCATTTCTCAGCACTCAAGCCTGGCCAGAACACTTCTGGTGACAGATCGGACAGCTCCTGGAGTGAGAACATTTTCTCTTATATTCAGTTTGTCAGAAGCTCTGGGAAGCAGGAACCAGATCTGATTTTTGAACGACTGCATCCCCAGTGTCTGGCACAGTGCAGGCGCTCAGTGGATTCTTGCGGAAAGAACAAAGGGAGGAGCCGGAGAAGGAAATTTGCCTTCTGCGATGCCTGCCCATTGGACCCAGTAGCTTTCCTACCTCCGTAAGTGATCGAAAATCCTTTAGCAATAAATTCGCCTTCAAGTCCAATTGGTTTCGAATGTCTTGTCTCCTGTTGCCCAGTTTGGGCACGTCCACAGTGATTACTAGAGCTCTGAATCCCAAGGATTCTACCTTCTGGATCAGCTGTTTGTTTAGCTGCCGATCTGTCTGCACGTAGAGTTGGAACCACCGGAAGCCTCTGGGGGCAGCAGCAACGATGTCTTCGAGGGTACAGCTGGAGTATGTGCTGGTGATGTAGCAGATGCCAGCTGCCTGGGCAGCTGCAAAGCAAGTGACACAACTCAGGTTGGAGGGCAGGTGTGTTCTAGACTAGGGTGCAAAGGAGTCTGTGTTGCCTCTGGCCAACTTGCCCTGGGAATGAAGATAAAGCTCAAGTTCCTTGTGCTTCTCTATGAGGTGGGGATAGAAGCGTTTGATCAGACTGGGAGGCCTAAAGGTGTGTGGGTCCCCCTCTGTAACCTGTCTTCTGAACCCAGTACTCCATGTAAAAGTATTTCCAGCTAGAGAGGGCATTTAGTGCCCCAACCTGTGTTGGACACATTGCAGTTGTCAGAAAGGACAACGGGCTTCTAGTGAACTTATTGATGATGCAAAAGGGTGTTAAAGGCGGCAAAAGCTGAGGTTTATAGTGGAAAAAGCATGAGGTCTGAAGGTAGAAAGTTGTTATTTCTACCATTTCTAAGCTGTGTGGTCTTGAATCTCATTTTCCTCATTTGCGAACTGGGGGGAATAATAATAATACCTCTTACAGGGTTGTTGGGAGATTAAGTAAGATACTAGATATGGAAGCATTTTTAATATTATGAAGTGATATGCTATGCAAATGCTAGTGGCAGGGATCTTGATGATGGTGACAATGACCTCGACACTGCTTCTGCACTGCATGTTTCTCATTTCCTGCTTTATGCATTTTCACCTGGCTTCTCCCGCAGGTTAATGTCACTACCATTCTACAACCCATGGGCAGAGCATTTGAACCTAATCAAAAATTAATAGTTTTGACTCCTAATGTCAACAGGAGATACCCCATTCATTAGCCCCACGTCTGAAACAACACAACACATCCAACCGTGAAGATGTAGCTGAGTAGGCATATTCATACGAGGAGTTCATATTTCAACCTAGCCAGACTTGGTTCCTAACCCAGATGAATGTCACTTTCAGCTCTAGAATCGCTGAATTCATTGCTTCCTATAGCACGTAGTTGAAGGAAAAGACCCCAAGGAAACTCGCAGAAAACAGATTAGGCCTAGAGTGAAGATTACAAAGGAGTCACAAGAATATCTTCAGCCCTGCTTCACCCCTTTCCTTTCCTTCTCATTATTTTCGGTGGGATGGGGGTGGGGCAGAGAGAGAGGTCAACTAGGAAGGAGGCATAACTTAGTAAGAAACTGTCAGATAAGATGACAAGGTCAATCGAACAGCAGGAAGATGGGACGTTTGGACAAAACACCTGCCGGGGCCAAGTGTTAACACTTAAAGCCATGCCTCTGCTCCCATCCTACATTCAAAGACTCACCATTCAGCCCCATGAGGGGTCAGTGGGAGCCCTGCCTCCTGGGCCGCACGGAGCATCCTTGTCCCTACAGAGTGTGAGTCAGAGGGACCAGCGCCTTCTGCAGGATGGCATGGGGAGTGGGTTTTGCATCCACCTATTATTCATCAGTAGTCTCTCTTCCACCCTAACCATTCTTTATCATGGAAAATGGGTATTTTCTCAATCAGGTGAAATGTTATGCAAACACAGGGTTGAACATTTCTTTCCCACCATCCCTAATTCCAACCATTCGCTGTCCCCAGGTTCCTTCTCTGGAGAAACCCTGAAGCTGCCCGCCCCGAGAAAGGATACCTGCTGCACTCTGCAGCGCCCTGGGAAGGGGGCCTCAGGTGCGGCGGGCTCTCACCTCTGGCTGTGCTCATCTCCCCATCTGGCCAAGCAAGGCAGTGGAAACCTGTAGGTGAGATGCAAATCGGGGCACTGATCTCCTCCCCTTGGATGGTGGTCCGGGTGTCCACCCGCGACACATCTTTCAGGTACCGGGGACGGAGGCGGATTCTGTGCTAGACAACAAAGGGGTTTTCTATTGGTGGGATTACTCTCCAGCAAGGAGGCGCTGCCTGGTGCTGGGACCTCCCGATTCCTGGTGCAGGGGGAGACTAGATTGGGTCCCCAGAAACCTCTGGCAGCGCTCCCTTGGCTGGTAGCCCAATAGGCAGCATAGACCAGCTGGACGCTCCCCTCCTCCAGGAAGCCTCTCCCAACCCCTGTTCCACTGGAACCCGCCTCCCAGTGCACTTGCGGCCCCCACCTGCCCCTGCCTCGCTCCCTCGGAGGTCTGTCTCTAAAAACTGCCACCCAGACCAGGCTCTCAGCACTTGGGTGCTCCTCTGATTCATCAGAACAAAAACCAGAAAAGGAAGAAATAAGAAGCTAAGAGTTCCAGGCTCTTCCTTCTCAGGTTAGAACAAATCTCTAAGATAAGAAAAGGTCACAGAAAGAGCACAAAGCGCAGGGAGTGTTCATGGTATTCTTGCTAGAGGCCAGTTCATTATAGGCTTGTCTGAAATACTGCTTTAGGAGAAGGTAGGGACATTTTCCAATGGCAAGTATATAAAACGTGTTAAAGCCAACAGATTCTAAGCCTCAGAGTCTAAAAATGCTTGTCTTTCACCAAATATTATTATTCCTGTACACACATTTAGGAAGATTTTTCTGGAAACACTGATTGTGTGAACTAAGTCACACAGGCTCAGTTACTTTCTCCCTGGAATGAGGGGAAGAATCCCCACTTCCTAATAGTCCTGTGAAGACACAGTGAAGTGAAGCAATTGAAGTTCGGAGCGTAGAGCTAAACAAGTGTGAAGACTCAGACCTAGCGTTCACTTCATGCCCAGTTTTCCAGTGTGTCCTGGGCCCCGCTATCACGGGCGTCAGCAAACTGTCTAAAACGGGCCTGGCTGCCAGCGTTTAAGGCTCTGTGGACTGTGCCGTCCTTGTCACAGTTACTCGGCTCTGCTGTTGCAATGTGAAAGTGGCCATCGATGGAACATAGCTATGTTCTAATAAGACTTTTCTTATAGACACCGAAATTTGAATTTCACGTAATTTTTGTGTGTTACAAGTTACTATTCTCCTTTTGGGCTTTTTCAACTGTTTTATGAGAAAAAAACCACCACCCTTGGCTTGTTCACCATCCCCCCAAAATGGTGGTGGGCCCGCCTGGCCCGGGGGCTGCTGGTCGCTGATTTTGCTGATCTGTACCCTGCCCCTCCTGCTGCAGTCCAGCCCTTCTGCCCCGGAATCAGTCTTCCTTCCTCGCTAAGCCTCCTTGCGTCTCCATGTTTCCTCCCACCCTGAGTTCTCTCTCCTTTCAAACATCCCTCTTCCAAGCCAGAAGCTTTAAGAACTCAAGAAATTCAGGTCCATGCAGCGGGCTCTCCACCCTGCCCAAGTGACCGGTGACCTTTAGGTTCTTATCTCATCTTCCCAGGAGGCCAAGTTGCTGAACTGCAGGGGCAGAGGGTGACTCACTCATGCCAGTTTTGTGGAGGCACTAAGATAAATTCTCTCCAACCATCCTCTCCCCAGCTATCTGCACCCCCCAAATACGCCCAAACCCCAAACAGCAACACAGAAACCACTATTATATCTGAGTTCTCTGTGTTCTTTGCTGGCAGAAACCAGGACTGGGCCCTTCCAAGGAGCTCTGAACCAGTGCACCGGGGTTTAACAACAGAAAGGTTACAGAAGGTCACACTTTTTGAACGCTGCGATGTTGTAATCCTTGGTGAGGCCTTCCCCGGCTGCTCCTTCAATGTAATCCCAAGTTGACTTGGACAGACGCTTCCGCGCACGGGCCTCAAAGTCTGTCAAACACACCATGGGCATTTCTGGACCTTCAAAGGAAAACCAAAAACATCTCAGAGGGAGAGGACAGAGTGAAGGCATTTGCAGCAGGAAGCTGTTGGGATCCATCACTAACCCCTGCGTTCTTATCTCAGTGGAGATGCTGCCGAAGCTGTGAACGCCAGCAGGCCTGCAGGGAGTCCTGCACACCGCACTCCTCCACCCCCTGCCCCCAACGCCTTCTGGTATTCTTCTTGTGTGTCCCCTCATCTCTAAGCCCACTGCTTCAGATCTAGTTGAGGCCCTGCCACAGTTTATCAGATTACTTCAAAAAATGTCTTACCTTTGTCTCTTAGCCTCTGGATTCACTCTACAGCTCATCTGCCTCCAGCTGCCCAGGACTTTTCTAAAATGTCACACCTTTCAGGTGCTCATGACATGGCATTTATGGCTTCCCAGGACCTGGCCCCTGTCTCACCGGTTTCATTTCTCGATGGTTTTTCCTGGTTATTTGAGTCACTCTGAATGGGTCAGAGGGCTGTTTCATACCTCTGTGCCTTTTGGGGAAGAGGCCCAGCAGGCCAGGAAAATCGGGATGAACCGATATTAATATCTGGAAGTGTCTAGGGACTGATGTCTGGACTGCCTGGAGCTGTGGTTGATATCAGGGAGGAAGGTGGCTTTTTTTCAACTCCTGGACTGGGTCATTGAACATGTTGCTAATTTTGAGACCAGATAAACAATGTATTACCTCCACTTTTCCCCACCCCACTCGGAACCCTGAAAACCTGGAGCTGATCCTTTTGAAAGAGGAAAGAGGGCAGGGCTTGGGGGTGAATCCTTCTGGAAGGGAAGAGGGCCGGGGGGACAGTAGCCACAGAGAAGCTAAAGGCTCGGGTGGCAGTGAGGCACGGTGTGTGGAGCTCTTACGTGAGAAGGCTCCACCAGGAAGGGTTGATGGATCCGTGGTTCCTCTCTGGGCATCTCCCCAGCGGTTGGCAACAGGGTTCCCAGGAGCCAAAGGCTCGGAGTAGAAACCGTGTGACTTTGACATCACTGAGGGCTGAAGATAAGCTCTGGGAACTAGGGCTTCAAACACAAATGGGGCAGCTCCTCTACTGGGTGAGAGGCCACAGAGGCCAGATGAGACCTGGGAGTTCTGGTGGTGGGTAGGGATGAGGCAGAGCTGGTCTGAGAGCATCAGGGGCTGGGTCAGAATCTAGTCAAATCAAAGAGAGAAGTAGCCCAAACACCTCGGGAGCTAAGCAGAAAGAAATTATGTGACAGGCAGAGAACAGAGCCCCTGGGAAGTGCAGTGGGTTCCAGATGGAGGTGAGGAGGGGAATTTGGAGCACAGCCACGGAGGCTTTTCTAGGCAGCTCACCTTGTCAGTGGGTGGGCAGGGAGCTGTTGAGGTGCTGAGTTGAGTCTGACAAAGTACAACGACCCTGTTTAATTTATCTCCTTCCTACCCCATGATTTAAGGGCTCAGTAACTTTAGTCGAATGAATTAATTAACCATTGAGTTTATCCAACTGCATTGCAATCACATCTCAATCTCTGTGTGCAAGAAAGAGTTAACACAGCAGCCTAGGCAAGCTATTGCACAAACAGCCTGCCTGCAAGGTCGGCCTTGGGCTGGAGCCTGGGAGCTTGGATATCAGGAAGGTGCTTACCATTTCCTGATAAGACTGGCTTGCTGTGTCTCAACTCGTTGTGCAAACAGTGTGGTTTATGCTGAACATCTGTGCTCCCTCGGAGAGTCTAGAATTTTGGTTTGGGTCAGACAGAGGGTGTCTGTATGACCACCCCCCATACCCCAACCACCCTGGGCACTTAGTCTCTGAAATGAACTTCCCTGGCAGATGGAAGTTGCACAGGTGTGGTCGCCACTCTTTGCTACAGGGATGAAGTGCATCCTGTGTAATTCCATGGGGAGAAACTCGTGGACACTTATACCCTGGTTTCCTTCAAGACTTTGCCCTGTGAGCCTTTTCCCTTTGCTAATTTTGCGGTACACGCTTTCACTGTAATAACTCGTAGCCTCCAAGACATGCTGTCTTCCTAGTGAGTCACTGAACCTGGGACCCGCAGCACACCTTGTATCCCCAAGTGTGAGGACAGTGGGTAGCACCGAGTGGCTGTTCATCAACGCTCGTTACTTCAATTTAACATTCTCCTATCTGTCATCTCTGCCTTTTTGGGTGAGAATTCTCCAACAGGTTTCAACTGTGGATGAGAAAAAGTGTTTCTATGGAAAGTAACCTCACAGGGTGATGTGATCATAAATTCCTAGCTGGAAAGGTCATGGTGGGTAGTCACATCCTAGTCATATAACTTCTTTAGCAAAAGGCTCATCTTTGCCTTAAGCCAATCCTGTCTGTTTTTAATGTGCATCTAAGTTAACACACTGCTAAAATTCCCCCTTCCAAACCTGATTCTATAAGCCAGTGTCACCCCAATGAATTTAGTAATAAAAACCCTCCTTTTAATGTGTGAACCTCCCTTTCAGATCACCTCTTCTAAGAGGTAACCATCTGCAAGAGTTAACTCCCATCTTCATGTAATTAGGTCCCCTCCTTACTTTCAAATGCACAAAAGGAACAGCAAAACTGTTCTCTGGAGCATTTGAAATCTTGTTCCCTCACACATATAATCAGTTTGGCTCAGAGAAACTCTTACAAACATTCTCTACGGGTTTGGGCATTTTTTATGTTGACACACCTCCCAGTGTCTCAACCAATCCCCACAGAAATGTCCTTCTGCAGATTTCTAGTATTGAAACTCAACAATATGTGTGTCTAATCCAAGAAAAATGGCTCAGATGCACTCAGAATTACTTGCCTGGAATAGTGTGAATTATATGATCTGAAAGCCGCTTGAAAATGAAATAACCTAGCATCCTTATATATAACAAACACCATTTTAGTACACTTCTATCTACTATTTCCTTTTCTATACACTTCTCTGGGAAGTAGACAGAAAGTAATGGCAACTCAGTCTCTCTCTCCGCCACACCCTCAGCATTTGAAGAGAAAGAGGCAGTAAATGATTACAGAGGAAAGCCCAGAGTGGTGTCTTCTGGTAGCCTCTAAAGATAGATGTTCTTCAATTTCAATTTCATGGTGCACAGCCAAATAGTTGGTTCACATAAATTACTTGTGTCAAATTTAAGAAAATTTCATAGGGCTAAAATACAGTCATGGTGCATATATATTTTTTTCATGGTCTGTGTGAAGCTTAGTGGAGTATCGAGTCCATTATTTTTATTAGAGTTCCAAGACAAGGCTGAGAGTTGAAGAGCGTGACAACCATGTCATTCAAAGTTTTTCCTAAGTTTGGGAGGGAGACTTAGCTCTAGATGATTTTACATATTTCAGTTTGATCCATGCAAGATTTAAAGCTACCAGATGTTAAAGGGAGGATCCAGGTTATCTAATGTCTTGCTTGTATTTGATCTCCATTCTTTTTCTCTCCTCTACCCCAACTGCCCAAGAGGAAGAGAGAAGAGAGGAAAGGATAAAAGTCTCTTGTAAACTAAGAATTTTAGCTCACTTAAGCTCCTGCAATCTGTTTAGGCCTTTGGCGTCACAGTAAGCAATTGATGAGGTATAAGTAGCATACCCGTAATGATAAGGAGTCTAAAAGTAAAGAGCAAGGACACTCAGTGTTATCTGTTGCTTACAAGTTGAGGTTCAAATAGTTTTTCCTGACCAAGGAAAGGGGCAAGGACGTGGACCAGGGCTGGAAGGCATCTCAAGGCAGACTTTGCTTTCGCAATATTGCTATTTGATCTAATGCCCTTAGATAGATAATAAGTTTTTTTAACTAGATTTTTTTTGGATTTCCTTAAAAGCAAAGTTTCTTCTTTTTAAAATATTTTATTGTTTATGCTATTATAGTTGTTCCAATCCCTCCCCCCGCTCACCTAAGTTATTTTCTTTTGAACATTTCATATGATTCATATGATTTATATTGGTATCTTTTTAAGAATTCTGGCTATTTTCAGTTACCCGGGAATCCAACCATTCTTTTAAAAGCATTTTTTTCTATGGGAAAATGTGTACTGAATTCTAAACATGAGACTTCTGAGTAGAGTTTTAGGACATAGTCATATTGCAAATTGTGTGCTTTCTATGGGGTGCAGAGGCTGTGCAAGGCATGCTGGGAGACATGGACCTGTATGCTCCCATGGTGTTTTGAAAGGTTGGGGATTCCCTTATTCTACTGGGCAGTGGAATAACTTGATTACACAAGGACCCCTAGAGACAGCAGGATAGCTCCTTAATAATAATAACAATAAAATTGCAACCATTTATCAAGTGCTGTGTACATTGTTTCACCTACATTCATTTTGCAACCCTCGATAACCTTCAAACACAAATATTATGCTCCACACTGCATACTTTGCTCACCCACATATGTCAAGTACATGTTCTGACTCCCATGGCCTGACTCTGAAGCATCATGAAAAGAACCAAACGTGTGCAGCAGAGTGTGGTTTAGAGGGAGAGTTGGCATTTAAAATGCACGGCTTTGCTCCCTTCCCTTAGAAAAACCATAACTCAATGAGAGAATTTGAAGGTTTCATTATTTAGCTGGTCATAAACAATGACACATTCAAATCGGTCTACAAAGCACTCTTCCATCTAGCGTTCCCTTTGGTGATCACAATAACCTGGTCAATAAAGGGCAATCAAAGAGTAGATGTACCTAAGACCTATTTTATAGATGAAAAAATGGAAACGCAGAGAACCCAAGTGAATAATCCAAACTCACATGACAAGAATGGCCAAGCCTGACCGGAAACCCTTCTGACTTGTTTTGGAGCTATTTGACCCGGTACGGAGTACCAGTAGTACCTTAGGAGATTTAGGTCTCTGTGCCGTAGGGTTGGAGGGACTACATAAAGTGAGCTTGGCCAATTCTCACAAAACCTAGTCCTTTGGGAAAGGTGTCCTGAGTGGAGATCACCGTCCCAGCCTCCCCATTTGCTCACAAAGGATGGAGGGCACCTGTCAGCAACAACACAAAGATTCAGAATGTGCTCTGGGCCCCATTCTTTCACTACTGACCCAGGTCCCATGGGGGTAGCTCTCTCTAGCAGTGGCACTCACAGAGGCAGCAGGAGAGGGGGAAAGGACAGAGCAGGTGGGGTGGAGAAAGGCAGCTGTGAGATGGAGCTGTCTGTCTTTGCCTTTGTCCTGGCACTCCTGTCTATGGCAACTACTTCAGATGGTATTCCCGAGTCCGTAAGGCATGAGTAGCTGAGGCGGTCCATGGAGCCAAGAAAAGAGACTCTCCTGAGCTTGTAACTTGGAGCAATTTGAGTGCTTTGAGTAATTTGAATAATTCTGGGCTAGTATAATTTTAACTTTGTGTCAGATTGCGTCATGAGTTTACCCAACAAGGTTTACTGAGTACACACTATCGTCCAGGAAGGCGAGGCACTTACGGCTTATCATGTGCTTCCTGATATTTCCTTGTCAAGGAAAGATAAGCAGGATTATGCGATTAGTTCTGGTCTCCCACTAGGAATGGAAGTGACGTGTTAATTGTGGGCCAGTTGGAGTCTGGAGAGGTGACCCCGCCACCTTCCTCGTGCTGCAGCAGTGCGGTGACAGAGCTCCAGGTGTGTGTGGACATTGGATTATGAAAGAAAAAACTTACGTGATATCAGTGTCTGCTCACAAGGAACTTACGGTTAAAGGAGATGACGGATTTCAGCAGTGCATTCTCTGTTAGTTGCTATGATCTAGACCATCACAGGCATCCTTTTCTGTGGGGAATCTTGCAGGAATTTGGGGACATTTCCATCATTTCTTAAATGGTATCCTACAGATGATGTTCTGCTCCACATAGTCTAGAGAAGCTCCAAGTCTCACCTACTTATAAAATGAGGCTATCTCATGGAGATCTTATAAAAAGTCAAAGGATCTTGGAAAATGCAGAATAGCCTAGTGATTAAGAGTAAAGACTTTAGCTCTGGCTAGTGTAGCTCAGTGCATTGAGCGAGCACATGCCTGGGGTGCAGGCCAGGTCCCCAGTAGGGAGCGTGTGAGAGGCAACCACACATTGCTGTTTCTCTCTCTTTCTCCTTCCCTTCTCTCTAAAAATAAATAAATAGAATCTTTTTAAAAAAAGAGTAAAGACTTTATTAGTTTTGTTTCTCGTTAGGAGGTAGATCCCAAAAGGTTATTTTTCCTTCGATCCTATTTCTAGACTCTCTGTTGGTTTTATCGATCCATTTGTCTGTCTTTATAATGCGGATGAAAAAGAGATTCTACAAAAAGCAACCTCACTTTTAGGTGATGTGGTCCTAAATTCCTCACTTGGGAGGTCATGGAGGGCAGTCATGCCCAAGGCATGTAACTCCTTTAGTAAAAAGTTTCCCTTTGTCGTCTGCAAGCCTTGTCCACTGTTGCCGAGCGTTTAGGTTAGCACACCTTTGAAATGCCCTTCTCAGGAGTAAGCAGGTAATGTTGCTCCCTATTCTATAACCTCATTCCCACTGTGCTGTCTCCCACCTTTGTGTGATCTCGCATCCATGTTCCTCCTTAATCCCAAATGCATTAAAAAGCTGTAAACTTCTGAGAAGCATTTTTCTCTATCTATTGAGATCTTGTTTCCAAGTGTATCCTCTGTTTGGCTCAAATAAATATTTTTATTTAAAAAAAAAACTCTCTGCAAGTTTGGATACTCTTCTGTCGACAACACCAGCACCACCAGGACTTGATGACTGTTCTGGGGTAGTTCTCCAGAGCTTGATTCACAGGTTCAACCTGACCTGATCACAGTCACAGTAACTGTTGGTACCTAGTTCCAGACAAGCTCATCCCCCAGAGAGACTACCCCTGCTTGATTGTTTATGAAGCATTAACTCCTTTGCCTTTAAAAAAAACTGTATTTTATGGATTATGATATTACAGTCGCCCCAATTTTTTTCTTCCCTTTAGTCTACCTAGGCCCTGCACCCCTCTTCCCAGCAGTATCCCCCACACCTTAGCTCATGTCCATGGGTTGTACGCATAAGTTCTTTGGCCTTTCCATTTTCTGTACTATTCTTAACCTCCCCCTGTCTATGTTACGCCTACCAATTATGCTTATTCCCTGTACCTTTTCCCCACATGGTCCCCCCTCCCCGCTGATACCCCTCCGTGTGATCTCCATTTCTGTGATTCTGTTCCTGGTCTAGTTGTTTGCTTGGCTTTTGTTTTTTAGGTTCAGTTGTTGGTAGTTGTGCGTTTGCTGTCTCCTTTGCCGATTAGAAGCAGCGGCCACATCAGTGTGTTCCTCTGCCCACGGCCAGGACGCACAGGTAGGTGTATAAAGTACACCCCCGAGGGCAGGGACTGCATCTTTCAGATTTTCCAGAACCCTTTCAAGTGAACATATTTTGACCCTTGTTCCTAAGGGCCAGTATTCTACCAGGTGGTTCTAAGACTTGATTGAAGTAAACAAACCTCCTCTGTCTGGAACGACTTTGAAGGGAAGCCTCCCTTGGTTGGTCCTGTCCTGTCAACGTGACTCCTCTCTGTCACCTTATAAATTCTCAGTGAGCAGCCATGGAGCCTCATACAGGGTCTGGCCTCGGTTCTCACCCCACCCGCCACATCTCCTTCCCCAGTTCTAAGCCCACGGAAGACACCCAACCACAAACCTGATTTCAGCGTCCTCCCGGACTGGCCAAAGTGGTGTCTCGAGGCAGCCACTGGAAGCCTGGCTCGCGGCTGGCTGTGGCAGGAAAGAATAAGTCACTAACCACGACCTCACGTACACAGGAGAGGTTCAAGGCTGAAAGTTAATCTTTTAATGGGAACGATATTCAGCTTTAGAAGTAAATGAGCAACTAGGCCAGAGCAAGGTTAATTTGGAAATGAACTTTGTGTTTGGCAAAGTTACCTCAGATGTAAGTGAAGTTCATTACAAAATGAAACTTCAAAGTAAAATAGTTGCTTATTTGCTCTCAAACCCGTATTTTCCCAATTCTTCCAAGATGATTAGAGGGGAAGTAGGTGATTTCAGGTCCTGTCAGAGAATTAAAAAGCCCCTGTGGTGTCCAGGACAGACCCTCTGGGGAGGTGCACAGGGGTCGAGTGAGGGGCCGTCACCTCCTGGGAGCCGGTGGGCTGAGGGCAGAGGGGGCCCAGCTGGGATGGGCTGAGGGGCATGCTCTTTGGAGCCTCCCTGGACTGACAGAGATGACGTGTGTTAGGCTGAACGACCACTTATTATTTTTATTAACTTAAAAATTTATTAATTTAATTTTTTAGTTTTAGACAGAGGGGAAGGGAAGGAGGAGAGAAACATCAGTGTGTGGTTGCCTCTCACGTGCCCCCTACTGGGGACCTGGCCCACAGCCCAGGCATGGGCCCTGACTAGGAATCGAACCAGTGACCCTTTGGTTTGCAAGCTGGCACTCAATCCACTAGCCACACCAGCCAGGGCTTTTTTTAAATATTCAAATTATTTTTCACTGGTTTAGGTGCTCTAAAATGAAGGCCTCACTGAGAAAGCTGGAGGGGATGGGGAGCCAAGGAGCGCTGGACACCTTGAGGGGAGTGTGTTACAAGATGTCTGTGGATTCTGGTAAAAACTCGCTTTTTAAATGTATTATTAATTTATTTTATAATTAACATTGACATCATATTAGTTTCAGATACACAAGATAGCCATTAGACACTTGTATAAGTTACAAAGTGAGCACCCTGATGAGTCTAGTATCTGACATCGATTATTACAATATTACTGCCGGGATTCCCTGTGCTGTACTTTCTGTTCCCACGGTTATTTTTATAACTGGCAGTTTGCACTTCTTAAGAATCCCTTTACATTTTCACCCACCCCCAGTGCCCCTCCCATCTGGCAACCATCAATTCTTCTCTGTAACTACAGGTTCATTTCTGCTTGTTGATTTTGTTTTTTAGATTCCATGTATAAGTGAACTCATATGGTGTTTATCTTTCTCCATCTGACATTTCATTTAGCCTAACACCCCAGGTCCATCCATGTTGTCGCAAATGGCAAAATTTGATTCTTTTTATGGCTGAATAGCCATTGTATATATGTACCATTTCTTCTTTATCCACTCATCTACTGAAGGACACTTAAGTTGCTTCCATATCTTGGTTATTGTCAATAATGCTTCAGTGAAAATGGGGGTGCATGTATCTTTTCAAGTTAGCGTTTTAGATTTCTTTGGATGGGAATTGCTGGATCGTATGGTAGTTTTATTATTGCTTTTTGGAGGAAACTCCATCCTGTTTCCCACAGTGGCTGCACCAGTCTGCATTCCCACCAACAGTACACGAGGGTCCTCTTTTCTCCACGTTCTTCATTTATTGATGGCAGCCATCCTGACAGGTGTGAGGTGATATTGCCATTTTAATTTGCATCCCTCTGATGACAAGTGATGGTGACCTTCTATACATGCATCTGTGGGTCGTCTGCATGTCCTCTTTGGAGAAATGACTACTCAGATCTGTTTATTTTTTAATCAGATTTTTGTTGGTGTCGAGTTGTATGAATGCTGTACTTGTAGGTATTAACCCCTTATCAGGTGTATTAATGGTGAATATCTTCTCCCATTCAGTAAGCTGCCTTTTCATTTTGTTGATGGTTTTCTTTGCTTTGCAAAAACTTTAAAATTTGATGTAGTCGATTTATTTTTTCTTTTATTTCCTTGCCTGGGGAGACATATTCAGAAAAAATATTGCTAAGAGAAATATCGTGGAGTTTACTGCCCATGTTTTCTTCTAGCCCATTTATGGTTCAGGTCTTACCTTTAAGTCTGTAATCCATTTTGAGTTTATTCTTGTATATTATGGTGTAAGAAAATGGCCCAGTTCCATAGTTTTGCATGTGACTGTCCTGTTTTCCCAACATCATTGATTGAATAGACTACCTTCACCCTATTGTATAATCTTGCCTCCTTAGATGAATTGACCATACAGGCATGAGTTTATTTCTGGGCTCTCTATTCTGTTCCCTTGACCCGTGTATCTGTTCTTTGCCATGTCGTTTGGTTTCCACCACTATTGCCTTCAGCATACTTTGATATCAGGCAGCGTAATATCTCTAACTGTGTTCCTTCTTAAAACTGCTTTGGATATCCAGGGTTTTCTGGAACCACTAATATTTTTGAGTGGAGAGATGTCTCAGCAATGTAGGCAGAAGCCTGAGAAAAGCAAACCTAAGACAGCATGTAAAACAAAAAAAGAATTCCCCAAGAACAGCCCTGTGACAGGTTCACTAAAGGTCACTAGTTAATGGCTAATGTGTCCAGGTCTCCCCTCTGGCTCCGGTGCCAGCTCCATCACAGCTCCTCAGGACTGCAGCAACCACCAACACTTGTTAAATGCTTGTGATATGTCTGGCATGCTGCATGCGTTATTTTACTTGACCTTCACAACACCTGTAGGGGCAGATACTATTTTCCCCATTTTTCAGAAGAGAAAATGAAGTGGATGAACTTGCCGTAGCGTGTGGCAGTAATGAGCGGAACTGGAATTAGAACCTACCTGCAGCCACCATTCACTCAGTGGCGTGTAGAAACTGAGGGCTACTTCAAGGACATGCCAGTGGGATATGCCTGTGTTTTAGAATCTGTGCGTGGAGGGAAAATGGGTAACTTCCCTGCTGACTCGTGATACGGTCCCTTCTCAAGGTTCATTCCATCTTTGCATGGAAGCTAATTGCTACCTGAAATTTTGCCACTAGATGGCACTGTTACCTCAGACATTCTTTCGAATTGGCCTTACTCTGGGATCTGGAAATACCTTTGGACATTTCTTACCCCTCCACAATCGGCCTGTAGTGCCAGCTCTCCTGCCACCTGGCTGTTAGCAGTCTCCTGAGCCAGACTCTCCCAGCCATTTCCAATCCTGGACCGGATCCCTCCTTCCAGGAGACAGTACGGTGTGGCACGAAGAACACAGACACGGGGACATCGTCGCCTGAGCTCAGGCCTGCAGCCCCTCACTGACTTCCACAGGCTCCTCACTTTCTCTGTGCCTTCGTTTCCCCATAACATCTCCGACAAGCTAATAAGAAGCAAATGAGTTACTATTGACAAGGTGCTGGTGGAAGAACACAGGAAGTTCCCATATTAGATTCTCAAGTTTGAATTCATTCCCACCCTGGCTACCTTTTGAATCTGAAGGGTCACTAAGCTAAGGATCCCCCTGTCTTCCTCAGTGACACACCACAGAGTCAGCCGTCACTGTCTGGTGTCAGTGCCTGGCCGAAGTGAATGAACCTCAGTGGGGCACAGGCAGATGGGATCCTGCAGCATCAGAATGGGTTCATGTTGGGCCCAGCCTTGGAGCAGGTACCGGGCTCTATGGGGCAGTCCCAGCGGGCTGGGTGGGTGTCGCTGCAGGATGGGCTTGAAAGCAGGTGTTGGTCTTGTTCAGGGGGGCACGGGGTGCCGGTTGAACAGGGCGCCTTCTTAGTCTGAGGGCAGAGAAATGACGGGTCAGTCCCGTCAGAGCAGTCGTGGCCCAGCTTCTTAGGGAACAAATGTGGTTCCACAGGCAGAAAACATTGCCCCAGTCACCCACCACCCACGATGGAGGACACTCTCGACTGTCCTGGGCCCTGCAGGGCTGCGGGGTCATCCATCTTGCTTGATTCTTGAAGTCCAATGAGCTTTGAACTCCTGATACAGGGTGCAGCCAACGGGGGGGGGGCAAAAATGATTGGGAATGGTGTTCAGAATTCAAAGTGTATAGGAATATTGGAGAGACATATAAGATGTCCTCAACTCTCCCCCCCACAGGTGTGAGTTGGGGGTAGGAACAAATAGAGCCGGGGCCATTGAGAGCTGTTTCGCATAGCAACAGTTTTGGCTAACCTCTGGAGTGGTTATTTAACATATCTATAACCTTTAACTGTTTTCATAGATATGTTAAATAGCTGTGGCCAAGTTTTGAGCCAGGAATAAGGGAGTGGCTTCTATCCAGGATGTAACTAGGGACTGGGCCCCTGAGTGGGAGTGCCTGTGTGAGAGCTTGGAAAAGACTGGCTCCGGGACATGAGGGGATAACTGCCCAGGTAAGGAGAGGGCCACGCGGTTTGGGGCAGAATGGAGATCCCTGCAGCCAGATGAAAGAGAGAGCCACGCGGTTTCAGCAAAGTTAGGACCCCCTCTTGGCCAGGTGAAAGAGGGAGCCTCATGGTTTAGGCAGAGTGCAGAGCCCCTCTTTTCCAGGTGAAAGAAAACCACGCAGCTTTGCCAGAATGGAGATCCCTGCAGCCAGGTGAAGAAGAAAGCCACATGCTTTTGGTGGAGCACGAACCCCTGCAGCCTTGGTAGAAGAGGCCCACTCGGCTTTGGGGTGCCCCCTTTGGCCGCGTGGCCTGGAAAGCAGGAGAGACTTTGACTGGAACTGGGTACAAAGGACTCTTGCCAGTGGACCATGAGAGGGAACCACAGTACTTTGGATTAATTAGAGATCCTGCCTGACACAGCTGATGATACTGTCGGCCTGAAACACAGACGTGTGCTCTTTTCCTGATTTACGGTACCCGGAGTTGGGACAGTGGGAGAAGGGAGCGCTGTGTGGGTGTAGGTGTATACCCTAAAGGACTTTGATATTTTAGTGGAGGCATTAGGCCTGAATAGCATTAAATAAACATTTTGTTTCCTTTTCACAAATCTCTGGCATTGAGAGATGTCTTTTCAATTGGCGGAGGACAGAAGGGCCCAGTAGATTTTAGTATTTTGTTTTGGGGAGGGGCCCCTGTTGTATAGCAGTTTTTGGCATCCCTAGGTGGGCCAAATATTGCCCCTGCCTCGGACC